GCGTCTACGAACATTTCTCAATCGAATCAGTAATTGGGTGTGGGAATCAATAGCAACAAACATACCCCTCACAGGAATTTGTTGAACGTTTTGCTCGTCAACCATGGATATGGCCTGTTGGAGTCCTTCCAACGTCCGGTCGATGTCATCTACGTCGAGCGGTGGATTTTCATTGATGTTGCTGTCCACCATTCGTCCGTACTGCACCCAGTTGACATGGTGGTAGTCTTTACGCAGGCAGCTTCTAGCAGGATCCACGTTGACACCGACTTCAGTCACCACCAGTTGGTGGTCGGAGCTGAGATCGTTGTGCGCCTCCGGCTTGGATAGTCCGATGTTTGACAGGAAAAAGTCCAGGGTGGAGGCATTTCCCGCCGGCGAGATTAAAGTTGGTTCGTCCGGAAATTGCGCAGTGTACAGTCCATGTTGTGCATGGTCGAACAATAGACATCTGTTCCGGTTCCTCTGATAGTTCCGCCAAGCTTCATGGCGGGCGTACAGGTCGCCCCCAACGATGAATCGGGAACTAGTACGGGTGATGGCGGTCAGGTTCTTCTTGAATTGGATTCCTAGTCCGTTGCTTGCGGTACACTGGCGTGGGCAGTAAACAGCGATAAACTGGACGTTACCAGTTGGTGATTCGACCTCCACACTAATGGCCTCGATGATAGAAGTGCGGATGTGGGTCAGAGTGCAAAACTTGATTTGACCGCTACAGCCCCCCCCCCCCTGGACCGCTACAGCCCTCCCCCCCTGGAGCTGGTGCGATCAAGCCGGATAATGTTGTGGTCAGGCAACCAGAAGCTGGCACCGGACTTTAGATGGGTCTCGGTTAGAAGCCCCACGTCGATGCTGTGCTTGCCAAGGAAGTTGGCAAGCTCAATCTCTTTTGCACTTACAGAGCAAGCATTCCAGGTGACGATAGTTAGCGGTTTAGACGCCATATTGGATGATGAACTTACCGAGCACTTGGATCTGTTCGGGCTTATTGCGGCACTTACGAAGAGCACCGGACATGTTGACGAAAATTTCCATCAGTTCATCCGCTGAGAACAGATCGGGGTTGTTGTTTTCTGTTGTTGGTTGTCTCCAGAATCCAGGGGGGATGGAGAGCTTTCGCCATCAGAATCGCCGGAAGTTGCTTAAGTGGAATGCACCCGCGAATTCGCTTGCCTTTGCTGAGGAGCACGAAGAGGCGGGAAATCCTCCGTCCGAATTGCCGGGACTTTGTCCTTCTTGCGTCCTGGTTGGTTGTTAGCTGCTGCCTGTTTTCGGATGCGTTTGAAGTCCTCGCGTTTGGAGCACTGTCTGTCTGCCACGGCTCCATCCGCAGGGCAGTTGGAAGTGGCGTGCTATTGAGCGCAGTTGCTACAGCGTGGCTTAATGTTGCAGTTGCGAGTGCCGTGTCCAAAGTTCAGACATCGTTGGCACTGGGTCACATCTCGATGGCCTCCACGGTATGGCTCCCATCGTACGATTATGGAGTAGATTGAGCGGATAGCCTGCAGCGCATTAAGCGTCACCGTTCCCTACTGGAAGTGCACCAGGAAAAGACAATCCGGGTACGTCTTCACGTTTTCGTCTCTCCTGGTCATCCGAAAGACAGCGATTGGGGCCAGCTTGTATCGGTCCTTGAGTTCTTCTTCGATCGCCTTGGGATCAACATCCGGTAGACCCCTGATGACTACCTTGAAGGGCTTTTCACCGGGGATGTCGTGCGTGAAGTATTCGGCATTGGAATCCTTCAGGAATTTGACGGCGATTTCGTATTCCGCTTTCGTCCGGAGCATCACTTTAGTGCCGATCCTGCTGATCTTGTACTCAGCTGCGATGCCCAGCGATGCAAAATCGCCAATGAGCGTCTTGAGTGGCATTACCTTCACCACCCGTGGAGAAAGCTTGACTTTCGCCGCACTCGGGCCGGCAGAATTCTCGGTTTCGACGGCGTCACCGAAATCACCGATGTCACTGGCGTTCGTCGCGGTAACATCGTCGCGTCCGCTCGTACCATCTAACTGTCCTTGATTTTTCTTTCTCTTTTTCGTCCGCATCACCGGAACTGGGTTGGCATTCCCAACATCCATGGGAAGAGTAGCGTACCTATTTGAGGTAGGTACCGAGCTACCCTTACCACTGTTCTTCTTCTCCGCTTGGTCACGAAGTCTGCTCCAGGAGCGCTGTCTTCGCATCACGCGATGCGACCGACACTACTGACGACGCGACGTGCAGTATATCTGCAATCTGTAACAAACTATAGGTTTATCGAACAACTCGACAGAGCGAGCAAAGACCGAACTGTACTGCTTGACGTTCAAGCAGAGAATGATCACTAATGAGTTGAGGCTAGACAGCAGCGTTTTTTTTCCTTTGGTTTGTTTTTTCCGTCGATCTTGTTTTCCGTGCTGAGCACCAATGCTACCGACGTGCCAGGAAGGCAGCTCCTACACCTGGACCCTACCTATCGACCCATCAACTCATGAACCGGGGACCAACGGCTTTACTTCCCATCCGAAGGCTTGGGAAGTAAAGCTTACTTTACTTTACTAAAGCTTTTTACTAAAGCTTTACTTCCCATCCGAAGGAAGGCGTGATCAGAACATCCCGGCGGCGCCGACTGGGATCGAACCCAGGTGTGCTGGGGTGAGAGGTAATCACGGTTACCACTACACCACCGGCGCCGTTAGACAGCAGCGTTGTTTTATATCTTTCCAGGTTAAAGCAGAATGATGTGCAATCAAGTGGTACTCGATTATGATGACTGCGTTTGGGAACAACGTTTATTTCATGAAAACAGTGAAAAATTATCACTTGTTATTTGTACTTTGGATAATGCTTGACATTACCATTTTTTCAATAGTTTCTTGTTGAAAATCGTCAGTTGAAAGCATTGCGTAGACATATTTCTGATCGATTGGTGATAAAATTATTGAAATTGATCCAGGGGCAGCTGAGTTATCAATGTTCAAAATCTTTCATAATTTTGTTTCATGTTCCATTTTCAGTTTTCACAAAGTGAATTATTAAAGCTTGACGTAGGACTACGTTTTTCGATGTATATTTCTTTTTTTTCTTTTCATTAACAGCTGAGATCTTGCTAAAAAAAAACTTACCAACTCATCGATTTTTTTTTTCAAATTTACAAACGAGTCGGGTTACCAAACATCGGGGAAAAAACTTCAATCCCGTCAAGTTGTTCACCCTCAACGCGCAAACCGACAGAAGTATGTATAATTCGGTTTGAACAGTGCACACTTATTTCCTCCCATGCCACCTTTCTTCCTTCTGCCAGTCCCACATGAGCAGCTTGATGACGTCGTTCACGGAAAAGCTCAAGAGGAGGAAAAGTTAACCGAATGACAACCGACAACCACGCGATGCTTCCTGTGAAGTTTCTTTTTCGGTTACTGCTGGGTAAGAACTTCTCAAGCAGCACGTTAAGAGCTTCGTCAACTTTACTCCAAGTCGTGAGCAGTTTCCATTCTTCTTATGCTGTTACCAAGTTCGTGCATGCAAAAAAAAACCAATCCGAAATGATAAAACATTATGTTTTTGTCAGAACTTTTTCGTATGACGAGACACTTGGAAGGATCTGTCTTTTGTGCTCAGGCCGCTCCGGGGGCTCATCCTTAACCTACATCGAGGAAAATCTCCCGCTGCTACTGGCGTCCCTTCCCTAGTATTTCATGTTCAACAAACCGGACCAGCTTATCTGGACCGGCAGGCGAGACATCGAGAGAAAGGCGTAAAATCTGAACCACCGTTGGACAGTGAAAAAGTACAAAATTAAACAAAGGGAAACAACGGGACAAACGACGATCCATCTTGCTCCTGCGCCTTTGGCCCGTGTGCGGTGACCACGGGTTGGATTTGTGCCAAGAAACTTTCTTTCTCGATGCCGTGGATGTCCGGTGTGCTTCCTCCGCGAGTGGGAAGCCAACCGTCGTCAGTTAGCGTTGCCGTCGGCGAGTCGTTGGTTGGCTATTGTTCCGCTTCGGTTGCCACCACAGGACAGGCAGGACAGGGGCCATCAGGAAAGTTTTGTCCGAAGCAAGAGTTTGCTCAAGGAGGCGAAAATGATGAAAAGTACAACTGACGGGACGGAGGGTTTGCTGCACGTTTTTAGGTTCGTCTGCAAAGCCGTTGCTTGTAGGGTGTTGTTAGGCTTTTTTTTCCTTTAGCAGTAAAATTCAACGAGGAAATGGGAAAGGGTATGTCAAGATTGTCTGTTGCTTGTGGTGAACTAAGTCTGGCATAAAGAGTAAGTTTTATAATTAAATTGTCACGAGGTTTGAGCAGATATGCTTACTCCCAGAATTGATTAAACACGCGCCTGACTTTTTGTAAATCAGGATTTTAAAAAAATTTCTTATTTCAATGTAAATTTACTCAAAAATGCTCATTTTTTAAGATTGAGAATGATCTTATACAGGATTGATTGCTCATGATTCACTTTAGCGAACATAGTTACAAATCTAACTTATCATAGAGAAACAATTTGGGGCTTTTAGGTTATTAATTGTCACAGTAGAAGGTTTGATTGTACAGCAACCTTATTGAAAAAGACAATAATTTTGAAACTTTTACTTGATTTGCATCATTTAGTATAATTCACACGATGTTTTACACGACGATTGAAATTATTATTTTAGGTTTCACTTTCAAATGAATCAAAACAAGTTTCAAGTTCAAATATATTCCGAAACTGCGAAGTATTCACTCCACCTTCTATTCAGTGCAAAGCATCGTCCAATTTCCCATGTGGTCCGGTATCAATTTTCATTAAGCAAGTGTTGAACCGAATAAATGGAATAAAATGCTAATTGATTTATTTCTCATCGTATATTTCCCGAAAGGGCTTCGGATCCCTCGCCCTCACACGAACCTTGCATGAAAAAAAAAACAGCGCACATAAAACCAATCCAATATTTTCAACGTAAACATTAAATAACAATTTTAAAATTTTCTCATCCGTTTCACATTTCATGTCTCTTTTTTTTCAGAGCTGCGCAACGCTTAGCCTCGGGCAGTGTGACCAACCACCACCACCACCATCAACCGTCGTCGCAGCAGCAGAACCCACTTCAGCAGACCGGTAAAATGAGTGCAATGGGGGGTGGTGAAATTGGTGGCTTCTGCGGTGCAATTCAACGGACGCCACCGCCAGTGCCTGCCGGATTGGCTCGACGGATGGCCAACCGGGAAATCGTTGGACTGGGCAAGGTAGGTTCCAGGAGAGAGGAGAGGGTCATTTTTCTCGATTTATTTTTTTCAATTCTGTGACAAACTGTGATGGGGTTCCGGTGGAGCATTTTTACGTCTCCTTCCATACTGACTGACCGGAATCGGTAAGCGAAAACTGTTTTACTGCTGCTGCTGCTTGGCAAGTCTCAAGTTCCCATCATGCAATCCTTTTCCTTGGCCATCATTCAGTCCTTGGTGGGTGGTGTGCAATTGTGCTTGCCATAATACGTGCAATTTATGTCCAATGTCACCGCTCCTCGAATGGCTTCATTGTCCCGGGGGATGATGGCATGAGATCCGTCAGTCAGAAACTGGAAACTTTTTATTTTATTCCCATCGTCATGTTTTGCTGCTGGTCGGTCCTTGGTCTAATAAGGTTTCAATTGGACAAAGATAAAGTTACTTTTTGTCCGAAGTGTTGTCTGTACAGGAGGGGCTCACTAAAAGTGGTGTGACATGTTTCCAGCATACAAATAATTCACAGCATACGAGAGGTTCGAGAGTGCATGTCACTCGCGTTGAGGAAGGGATTCGTGTTCTTTTGTGCAATGGATTACGGCAGGGTTGAATTGAGGGTAGAATTTACTGCACATATTTGTTACGGTGCTCATTTGAATTCATAGTAGAGAACGAGCATCTGCTCTGGAATTGGTGATGTGAGTCGTTTGCATATAGTTATCAAACAAGTATTATCGTGACCTGGTAGAACTGGCTGAAGTCAACATTGTCTTCGAAAGAAAAGTTTCAGTGCAGTTCAAATGATATGAAGATTTAAATTGCATTTTAGTAAAGTTTGTTTTCCATTACAGTAGATTCTAAGTAGAACCAACAATTGATGAACTCTTAAAAAGTATGAAAAACTATTTCATAATTTAAAAGTTATTCCTTAGAAAAATTGGATAAATGTAGTACTCCTCCTCCTCGGCGTAAGACGGACACCTCACTGTTCAAATGCTTAACAATTGAAGAATCAGGTTTTGGTCACACCCACTATAAATTAACAATATTTGATGCATTCCACAATAGAAAAGTAGAATCACACTGTAGCCTTCAAATGGAAAAATATAAACGAAAACAAAAACAAGCGGTAATGTTATGTAAATGTTGGTGTACAATTTCTGGTTGTAATGTACCAAAACAGTAAAATGCTTACAACATAGTCTACTATCCTATTCCTGAACCTTTTCTAGATGGGTTGTTAAAATTAGTAGTTAAATTTTGTGATTACGTTTGTAAGTCGAGGTATTTTTGTAAATGAAATTCAAAATAAAATAAGTGGCTGCATATTTGATATAATATTCAGGGCAGAAACTAGTTGGTCTGAAAATATTAGAAGTGAAGAAGTTTAATGTGTTTCGAAGTGACCGTAGTTTATCATTATCAGAGAAAAAATCAGGTGATGGTGTACTTATCGCTTCAATCAGAATTAATCACTATTGAAAAACATCAAGAATTTGAAGACGTGGGGGTAAAAATATTGATAAAGGCTGAAATTAGTTCCTTTGTATCTGTTTACTTCCCCCTCACACTTTGCTAAAAACCCTCGTATAAAAAATTCCTATATATTGCAGAACCTAAAATGCAAAGTGTGGAACCCCAAACCAAAATTTATATTTAAGATAGATTTTAACCACAAGACAGTTAATTTTATTCATGTTGATGATAATAACTCTCTGCTGCTACTGATTGTAGGTGGAAACGAAACATTACAATTCATTTGTGATAAAAACAGCCACCTAGGACTGCATCAAATTAATCATGTTCGTAACCAGCTCAATTGCTACTTGGAAGCAGAGATGCCAGATTTACAGACATGTCTGTGAATTCACAGACTTATATTTTTTTTCACAGACATTTTTTTCGTCACAGACATTTACAGACTCTTAAGGTTTTTCACAGATATTTACAGACTTTTTTAATCAAGGGAAGATTTTAAAATTTATTCGTTTACACTGTTTTAATCTTCAGTCAAATTACATGTGCGATGCATTTTGCAACACGCATTGGAAATTCGCACGTTTTCAAGTCCACCACACGAACAAGCTGTCATTGTTATAGACCTGTCAATGTGCTGCCATGTTGTATCCAAAACGAAAATTTTCCATACGATTTGATGGTTTGTTTGGATACGTCAACTCACGTTGGTCGGTCTATAACTTGGCTGTCTATAATCACTGTCACTGAAAAGCTCAAATGTGCGCGACGCAATGTGCGATCAGGCTAAAATTCAATAGCATCATATGGGAGAACAGTTTTAACAAAATGGAAATGATTTCACTCCAATCGGTTGAGCTTTCGTCGAGAAAAGTGAGTGAGAAATTTTGATCGTGAATACGCACTTTTTCTCTTCCATAAATAAATATCAATGAAGTTTAATGGAAAATCAATATAAATACTTGCACTAATCATTATGATGAGTTCCATGTGATTTGAGTATTTCGGCGCATGTCAGAATCTGTCCACTTTCCCGAGGTATCCGGTACATCTGAAAGAGGACATTTTGATCATTGGGTCTGATATGTCCACCATTGATCTTGTATGTATGTATGTATGTGAGTACAATCCATCGCCCTCTGTACCGGCAGAGTTTTTATGGAAGAAACTTATCTGCATTTTCTGTATGTCGAATGTGCAAACATTTTTAGCCGTGGAGATGGAAGGTGACAGCTCTATCGTACATCAAACGACCCATTTCAAGAATGCCTGTTTCTGCACGTACATTCTGAGGTCATTTTCTGATACAATAAGCCCCGCAAAAATACACAAGTGTATTCTCACTTCCAGAAAAAAAACTTTTTATTCTGGCACGTATTTAGTTATAAAATGATTGGGATATTTGTGTACAATAAAATAAAAAGCAAGTGTACTTATCTGGTTGTTCCAATGTGATGAGTGAGTCTCCATCGTACCTTGATGTTCACGTCTCCTTTCCCGTTTCCTTGTTTTTTGTGTAAATTTGTTTTATGCATCTAAATTACCTTTGTTGTGATACATCCTTCAACGAAAACAAATTTTATTGTATTCCCCTGCTTTTCTGGGAGGACATTCGCGTCCCATGTCACTGGTCATCTTTAGGTCACCCAGCACTTGGAATGTGCACTCCGTCGGTGTTATATGCAAATTGCAAAAGAAAGAAAGAAAGAAATACATACAGCCGGGATTAGTTTCAAGAAGTGATTATTTTCATCGGATTCCCCAACTAACCATATTATCGCAAAGTGAGTATATACAAAGCTTTATTGCGACTATATGGTTACTTGGGTACCCATAGGCCATCAGAATGGTTCATCGGTTGCAAATTCAGGCATTTTTTTATATTATGCGTTATGTTTCTCAATGTTTTGACTTTATCCTATTTTAGCTCAAAATTATACCTTCACTACCCAAACACCTTGTGAAAGTTTCAAAACCGTCTTTAAGTTTAAATACTGGTGTAAACAACTCTTACAAAGTCAAAGTTGCTGCTTGGGCATTGCAACTACGGGTAATCATTGAAAGTACTTGCATTTTGCTCAGGCACTTTTGAGCAAACTGTAACCACCTTCTCATACTCGAAATGTGCCTCGACCAATCTGGCACAACGATGCCCTATACGCTCTCTGACCAAAGCGCAGGGAATATGTCCACCATTGATCTTATAGTAAAATTCTAATGTGATTTGAGGTGTCGCATGATGAGTTTTTGATAAATCAATATTTTGCGAATTCCCCAGTGGAACCTGGAACACACATTATTGTACATATTTTCGGAACCAAAATCAATAGCGATCTATGAGGATCTAAAACACATCTTCTGGACCTTGTTCCACTCTAATTGGTCTAGTCATTACTGCGAAAAGTGAGTGAGTTACAGTCATATGAACTTACATACATACATACATATATAAATAAAAACATACACGCAAACCAAAAATCTATTACAATGAATGTTAGTTCCGTTTCCTATCATTCTCTGTTCATGAACATTGCAGCGAATGTTAGAAGTTGACCTTACAGGTGATGTAATGGTTTTTTGTCTTTTTCATTTCGTGTTCTATCTACGCTTTCGACTATACCAGTAAGCTTGTAGAACGACGCACATTGTAGAACATTGTAGAACGACGCACACACTTGCTTCGAATCTCTCCAGCAGAAAAAGCATACGAAGTCGAGTATGCGAGAAAATTAGCGCTTCATGTTTGCTTTTAGGCTATCCATATTCAGGAGCATGAAGAGAGCAGTGGAGAAAGCACAGGTCTGATAATCGAAGCGTTCTTGGTTCGAGTTCAGTCGGCAATCGGATTCCTATTTTTTTCGACATAACTAATTTACCTCACTAATATACTTTACATTTTTCGGTTTCCAATTTTCTTGCATTGGACCGCAGCTAGGTATATCGCATCCTCGGTTCATGCGGTCTCCACTAACATCCTCTGATGATGAATCCCACATGAATTGTAAGCGAATCTTACATCCCTCGGTTGGGTGTACATATATGCACACATACAGAAACATTTTCCGATCCCGTTGAGATGAGTCTATTGGTATATGCCATTCGTCTCTCCGGGTCTTGGAACGAAATTGTGTTTTTCAAGTGATATTTATTTATTTATTTATTCAGTCTTTGACGGTTTCGCACAGACTAATCTTAACCTATCACATTTACTCTTAACCTATTTTTAAAACAGAGCCTAGTTAAATTAAAATCGAAGTCATCACAAACAGCATTAAAGGCTCTAAGACAGGAACTTAGCGGACTATTAAATCCATAACTAGTCCTGTGACTGGGAATGACAATTAGGGCAGAGTTTCGTAATTCGCGCTGAGGTGCGTTAAGCATAACTTCCTGTAGAAGATCTGGACAGTCGGTGTTGTTCATCAGGATGTCGAATACAACCAATTGTTGCAATCTCAGTCGTCTCACTGATAGCAACTCTTAGTTGATTAAATGGCACCTTTGTTGGTAATCAGGAAGATTCACGGGATCATTCCACGGTAGGT